ACGGCGCCTGGAGAGAGTGACTACTAACTTGATTTAAAACGACTTTCTCTTCCTTGTTTCTTAGTACGTGTAATTTCGTTAATTAATGTGTGTTTTTGTTGTAATCTTAGATTACGTGTAGATGATAAAATCCAATAATGAGAATGAGAATGATAATTATGGTAGTAATTATCAGTGGTTTCGTTAGTTTTTTTTTTAGTTAGAAGACCTTTAAACTAATGGAGCAGAGTTTAATACTACTATGGAATAAAACTTGACAAACAAAATATTATGAAATTGAATAATATTACTGTGTTTTGTTTTGTTATGGTTAATAATAAAGTATCATCATATTCTCCATGTACAAATTTCATCTTCTCGTATTTGACAGTCAGTAGAATTCTTTTAATATTGTACTGTATCTGTTTTCATTGATCAATTAATATCTGTTTTCAGCCTATTTTGAAACAAACAATTATAATCAATATTAGTAAAATTAAAAATAGAGTTTTATTTTCCTTGAAAAAATTTTAATTTTTGATAGTGACATATTTTTGTACATTATTTTTCATTCGTTTTCATATTTGGTCTCTGTCTGGTTAACTGTGCAAAAAAGTGCTAAATGACAAGACTCTCCCAAACAGTCTAACTTTGTGGCAATTTCGTAAAAACCAGAATACCCAAACAAAAAAAGACAAATTTCTTTTTTGTTTTGTTAATATAAACGAAATAAACGTTGCAAAATACAAAGGAATTCAGTCTATCAAAAAAAAATTAACCGAGATCATTATAACACCATTAGCATCCAAAACAAAAATTAAATTAAACTAAGCAAAGTTAACATAAGTATTAGTGTACTATTAAGTAAATTGAATGCTAAGGAAAAACAAAGAGCAAATTCCAAGAAGAAAGAAAGGTCTATAACTTCTTGTCACAGCTGTAGACTATTCTCGAAAACCAGTGATGGGCTTATTGCTTATACTACTACCAAAAATCCCTACACACCTCACTAGACCACCTATTATTTTATTTTATTTTTATTCACGATTAAAAAAGTAATCTCAACTGCTATCAATTTTATTACTACAGCTTTTTTTTTAAATTCTTTTTAACAAAATACAAAATAAATATGTGTGTGTATATATGTATGCATAGAGAGAGAGAGGTAGGGACAGAGATTGGTACGGAGAGGCGCAGCCTGAGGCAGAAGACGACGCCTCTTCCTTTGATCTGATCTGATTCGATTTCATCCAGCTGTCCTATTTTTCTCGTTACTGCTGTTTTTAGTTACTGATTAGGGGTACTTTCGTCATTTTAATTTATTCACATGGGCTACATGGGCTTTTTTAACACTTACTTCCTTGGGCTACTTTTTGCATGGTTTTTATTCACATCCATGGTACACATTTCTCCTCCATGGAAACCAATTTAGCAGGTAATCATTTCAATAACCAAATCGAAGATTATATACTATAATTCAAATCGACTGCAAATGTTTATAGTTTTTTTTTTTACAGATTAAATTAGTGATATATTCTAAGGAAAGTGTTAGGCTTCAGTCATAGTATTATATATTTTTTTTTGTTGTTTTGATTTATTTCGTAGTGTTTTATTTTAGTCAAACGACGTCGTTGGCGAACGAACTTGATCTAACAACCGGAACCGTTGGTAACCGATTTTGTCAAAATGAGAGCAAAGAGACAGTGACATACGACCCACGATTTTGTCTTCATATTTGATTTGATTGTCCCACCGTGAAATAAATAGATAATATGCCATTGTGGAATTTAACCATAATGTTGTAATAAATGCGGACCGGAGAAACAATACATTAATTATAGTCTTAGAGCTTCCAATATGCACTTTGTAATATAAAATGTTTTATCACATACAAAAATTGTTCATCATACTAATGCAAACTAAATATTTTGGTTAATTTACGTTTATATATTGCATTTCATGTGATTGAATATATATTGAAACATGTAATAATTTATGTATCTTCCTCACGATTTGACGCATAAATCTGCTTATGTAATAATTTATCTTTCGTAATTTTTGTATAGTGACTTTGTAATCTCGATTTGAAATCAATGAAATTGTTAGCCGGCAAAAAAAAAAGA